TTTTGAAGCATTATGACCAAATACTATTTATGTAATTTAGAAAGCGTATTGGAGATTAAATTTCTAACTTCAATTACTGATCCCTTCTTTTTCCTGTCCCCAAACTTCCTGCCACCCATCTGCGTGACAGACGTGTTTCCTAACTGCCAGCCGAATCAGTCTAGTGTTTATTGGGTGTCAAAAAGTATATGATGGAACCGGTCGTGCAAATAAAACAACCTCATCGATCGTTTAATGCAAAATAATGGGGTAGTTTCCTTTCACATTTTGTTTCTTTGAAGATGTACATGGTAACAACTGAAGAGGAGATTGACGAAGGTCAGGAGGAAGATATTGAAGTACCGAAAGCAATGAGTGATATCTTTGAAAGTGTGGCTGGAGCTGTTTACCTAGTAGGTTTCAAGAGGTTGCTATGAGGAAGAAGGAGAGAATAGTGAATATTTTTAGGATGCTAATCGTGACCTGGATGTGGTTTGGCGAGTATTTTTCAATTTAATGAGACAAACTATCGAAGAATGCTGTGCATATCCGCCTCGATCACCCATAAGGGAACTTATGGAGCTCGAACCGGGAAAAACTCGCTTCAGGTGTGTGTTTCATGCCGTCAACCTTTAAATCATTTGCAACAAAGTGATGATCGAAAATTACTGAAAAGTTTTTTTGCAAGACTTCTTCATAAGAACGTATAAAGTAGTTTCTTCCTTCAAACATTTTTAGTTAGTGCATCTACATTAAAAGAAGCTATGCAATTTTCCTCTCTAGTAGCTCCACTACACCTTGTGATAGGCCCACTCTCCGATTAAAATATACTTTTGCAGCAAAATGGAGCGTATTATCGAGAGCGGCAAAGTGCGAGTGACAGTCGATATAGGGAACAAGATGAAGTTCACAGGAATGGGCAGAAATTATCGCATTGCGAAGACTACTGCTGCGAAGAGAGCACTAAAGTATGTCTCTTTTGACTTGTCGTATAAGATTTTTCTTTTTTATCTTTATCTTACACCACATAGTATTTCAGGTTGAGGAAAAACACTTTTTTCTGAGTATGAATTAGATTTTAAAATAAATAGTCACAAAGTCGATAATGATTACTGGAGAAGTACGAACAATCTTTTACTTTTCCCATTTAATCTTAAATCTCTACCGTCAGTTTAGATTTGCATTGAAATAATTTGTGAAATCAAAACATCTTGTGTTTATTTTTTGCGGATGTTACCCCCTCTACCAGAAGCGTAATCAAATCAAGTCAATAGATAGGGAACTGACTATTTGGCAGAACTTGCTGCACACTCTCACTACAACTTCTGGATCATTGTATTGAAATTCATTTTTTTTTTGTTGAATTGGCCCTCCTTTGAAGGTTTGTTGCTTTAAATCAAAATCTTTAGCAGTTCACATAGGCTTTACTCATAACCTAGTCGTTCTTAGACTTGATTTTTCAAAATTACAAAAGAATCTATGGCAAGTTTTTGCTGAAGCTGTTTGGTCACTAAGAGTCATTTGTTTTTGAAGTAAGATATGCCGTCAGATTTCATACAGTGCCCCTTCTAGTGATACTCAGCTTTGGCAAAAAAAAACCTCAATCATTTTCTGAATGTTTCACTACGATATGAGCGAAATAGCCTTTTCCAGCCTAATAATCTGATTTTTTTTTCTCAATTCATCAAAATTTGTTCACTCTTTACTTCACTTATGTCCTGGTGTAAAGTGTATAATTATACTCTACACACCAATTCTAGAAAGCTAGTGTGTTATGTGTAATCACCCCATTTTTCAGTTGAAATTATTTTAAAAGAAGTTGACGCCACTTGATTTCAAATCGCGAAGGACCCACATTTTATGTAATCCCAACGTTAACAAGTATGGAAATTTGTTCATTTGAGATCTATCACAATTATTAGGGCGCAGACACATGGATTAGTCTATCTCTATTGGGATTGTACGGGAAGATTCGCACACTGAAGTAAGCGCTTTGCACAGCATCTTGGTCGTATTTTCAATAGAGATTCTAGTAACAGCATTTGAGTTATATTTTGGTTGTAAAAATGTAAGTAATGAATCAAAATTTGCGTTGCGAGCACACCTACATGGCCGTGACTTGTGTATCGACAGCATTTCAAGACCAGCCAGGCGTCAACTTTTCCTAGAATCAGTGTGTTGTGTGCAGTCATCCCTGTTCTAATTTTTTTGAAATCTGTCATGACATGTAGCAAAGATTGAATTCTGTACATTAGTCATTAAAAAGAATTATGATTTCTTATTAAAGACTATGATAATTGCTCTCCTATTCTTAATTCCTCGATTTCAATTTGCATATCTGTTTTCAAAGCAGAAATCCTTTCCCCATTAAAACCTTCTGTTTTAGGTATCTCAAAAGTTTGGAGGAACAAAAGTTGCGCGAGGCTGAACGCAGCAATGGTAATGATAGCGAAAACACTGCAAAAATGAACTAAATTACTCTTTTCTGTCTCTATAGCACTAATTAGTTTTGCTGTGATAAGAAAAGTTTTAGATCTAGTTATCTCTGATCAAATGCATAGTGATGATACATGTACAATACAGTACGGTGATGAACGAGTAATTTGTATCTCTG